CCCCCCCCCCCTCCTTGTTCCTGAGATCTATGCAGAACGCGCCACCACTTTCGAACTTAAGCCTGAAAACACCCAAGATCTACGAAGTTGGCCATAAGAACAGGTGATCAATCAACAAGCCTGCATCTGTGTAGTGGCCGCATAGACATATCAAGGCACGGCCAGAACACGAGTTTTTCTCAAGTGGTGGGGCGTTCTGAAATCGACTCCACAAGGTGACCATGTCACCTGTATCCTGCTGAACATGGAGGGAGAACCCCCCCCCCTGGATTTCTAAAAAAAGTCTGCCTCTTCTTCTTCGTACACGCGTGATGACGTCGAAACCTAACTCCTACTGCGTACCTACACATCGCACCGCTGGTCGTGGGGAAGGAGGCTATACAACGAGGTTGCCGCGGTGCTGCGTGGCGATGCGCTTCATTGCGCACAGGAAGAAAACAAAAGCAACAACGACAACAAAACACGCCGCGCACCCCGCGGCAGATACGCCCGACCATCAGTATGTTCTCCCGCTTGCCTACCCCCTCCCAACCAGACCTGGCCGACCGGGAACTCTGTCTCTGAAAAACCTCCTGATCTCCGGAAAGCGTACCATACTATGTAGTAGATGCGCCCTCTGAAACGAGCATGCCAAACATCGACAACAAACATGGGTGGGTTATAATGAAGGCAAGCTTCACGGGGAGGGAGGGTTTAGCGGACGGGCCTGCCTGCCGACACAATGCCACCGGGTGCGTTGGGTCGCGTGTGTTATGTACAAACACCTTCGGACACCGGACCCAAAATACGGCGTGATTTACTCGCGGAGACGGCGGCCGCGATGTCATGGAGCTTCCACGTCTCCAGGGGGCACCGCAGCGACTGCGCCACCCCTCCCCCTCATACCCTTCCTGCCTGATTTTGGACGCCCAACGCTGCCTGCACCCGACAATACCCTGCTTCTTGGCGGCCTGAAACAGACGACGACGGTGGGGGAGGGTGGGTGCGTAATCATGTTTTGCATGACAAGGGGGGGGG